TTAAATTCGCCGATGTACATTGGCGAGACAGCGACAGCGTCCAAACCGGGAGGAAACCGGCGTTAAGGTGAACAATGTCCATAAAAGTCTGCTGAACTGCAATACTCTTGAGTCACGTCTGCTGGAATTAAAAGAATCAGGCACGCCCAGCACTCTGGCACAGCAACATCATCATTTCAGAATTGTGGCGTGTTATTATGGAGATGCCATACGCTTTTGAGCTCATCATATAGAGTGCAAAATCAATAGCGTTGCTGATCATCTCATGAAGTCGAATCAAGGCAAAAGGAGGAGAAGGGAAGCATCAAGTGGGCTCGGCGTAAGTGGCTTTGACTTGCAAAAGTGTGTTTGCATTACATGAGCATTAGTTAATGTCATCAATGGCTTAAAACGCCGCAAGGTGCATTAAAAATATGCACGCTCATCTGTTTTACCTACACCTTGATGCAAACATTTTGAATTAATCTCGTTTTCACCGGTGGAGCAATTCCATTTTGATATTCAAATTCGGTGCCTTATGGGCGCGCCGGCGCGTGTCAGTCCGACACGGATCTAATCAGCCTTTTATCGGTCGATAAGCCAAGGACACTGAAGAGACGACTCAGCTGATGCGAGCATGAGCCGACATGAGCCTGCCGCACCCGTGGAAGGCCCGTCGGTCCGTGCACACTACTCGAGTCTCCTCACCATACAATGCAAGCTTTGGCCAGTACGAGGCACCGCTGACAACTGAAATGACAACACGGCGGAAGGTTTCGAGAACATCCAAAATCCACCCTGTGTTGTACATACAGTCATGAGAGCGGATTGGGTCGTTTTCTGTGGCATTGAGACAAAGCTGCTTTACTTTAGAACAAGAACAATTTTTTTTATTTTTCTATTCTAAGTCACAAGAGAAACGATGTTGTAGTTTCAGCTATGAGTCAACCCTAAATTCACTCTCGGGGGTTGTTCATTGCCTTGCTTCAAATGGTGCGAAATCAAAGACGCTCTAGTCAGAAATAGAGTCAAACAATCGGCGTGGGGGTAAAAGAAAGACGGCTGTATTCTGGCCATTCCATTCCCACCCGCTGTCTCTGAAGACAGCGGGTCCTGCTGTTGGGTTATTCGCTGCTGGCAACACATTCACTGCCCCAAAAGGTGAAAGCCCAGAACACCAAATACGCCAAAATAAAAGGCAGGCGGAAGAGAGGCATTTCATGAGTCATAAAAGATCATCGAAGCGGAGCGAGATGTTGTATGGCTTCTATCATTTTGCGTAACCTGATTACAATCCATATTAAGGCAACTATAGGACGGGGCTGATGCCAAGCAGGCGCTACATAAGTGCTTCGGTCAAGGCAAGTGAAACAGCCTTAATGGGCTTTCCTTAAATTGCCATTTCGCTTGTGACTGCCGTTTGACTTCGACTGCCGGAGAAATCGGAATACAGGGCGCATTTGAATCGCTTTAGGTACCATCTGCACTAATCTTACCCTATGGGCAAATATCAACGCGTATACCTTCTGCGTGACCAAAAAGCTACTTTTGTGTTCCCCGAGGTGCAGGTTACGCACTTCATTAAGCAAGACCTGGATCATCCATTTTGGGTTGTTTCAACATGAAAATCAAAGAGTGCGGTCACTGCCTTTGTGGTGCCTGTTGTCATGAGAGCTATAGTTCATCTTCAAATGAGATCTTCAGTCGGGGCTGCGAGAACGTCGTTTCCTCTGGAATGTGAGGCATCGTTGCCCCGAAAACACGATCAAACCCAGGAGGGCAGCTTTAGCGTAGCATGTCTGCGGTATTTGCGTGACACAGCGCGACGCGGTGCCAGCACGTAGTCCACTTTAGCCTTATTATGCGACTTGCATTTTTCATGCAATTTCCCATCAATTAGACATTCCATTATTTTAAAACACCTCGGTCGGGTGCAGGTTGGAGCAAATTGGGAGATTTCAAGGCAGCGCACAAACTTGGCTACTTCCTGTTCTCGCTGCCTTTCATCGGTGTAACAAAGAGCGTCTTGTGCTATGCCCCCCCCCCCTCTCCTGACGATTTATTATAGACGCCCAAGAAGCTGCGGTCAGGTTCAAAGACAATTTACATTCTCTCCCCTTCAGTCGCCCAGTCATTTACCAGTCCTTTTTTTTTTCCCTCTCCGCTTGGCTCGTATTCATTTTCTCCCTCGCTCCCTCCCAACTTTGTCCCTCTCCAAGACTCCTCTAAACACTGTCTCTTCCACATGGCCCACATAATGAGTGGTGAAGCTAAACGAGAGGAAACACGGCTCACTATTAGGAGGGGAGCGCGGGCTGAAGGTTTTAAATAAACAGAGAGAACTTGAGGCCAAATTGTACTTCCAAAGACGTGAACTAATGGAACAGGCAGAGACGCGCACTGAAAAAATACACACTCCGTTTAATCTACCATAAAACTTGTAAAAATACACACGTCCGTGTGGATCCGGCTGCAAAGGACTGGCAGCGGGGCAGACGTGTGCATGCATCCTCCTATTCATTATTTCTTTTGAGTGTGGAAAGCCTATTAGGATGCCTTGGAAAACAGAACAATAAAGACATGAGGCGGGGAGGGGGAATAAATAAATAAAAGCATGTCTGTCAATGAACGCTAATTGGGCAAATGTGTTTTCTTAAGTGACTCGGATATGCTCTCAGGCACACCCACATAAAACCACTTCATGAGGTTAATTGGCTTAGCTAGGCTCATTAGCATAACTAATTAGGATCGTTGTGAAAAGATAAGTATTGTTTATTCAATTTGTGCACCGAGATGAAGCCCTGCGTTGAGCCCTTTCATCGTGCCTGCGCGCTCAAACGAAAAGGAGGCGGCGCTAAGTAAGCCTGAAGTGGGACCTGTGGGTGTCTTGGCGTGTTCAACGTCATTGTTTATCTTTTCAACGTACACAGATGCTCGCCATCAGGTGCCGGATGCCCCGCTGAGCCCACCAAAGCCAACGCGCGCGCACACACGCACACACACGTACAAGTGTTTGGCTCTCACAGCTGAAGCTCTCAAATCCCCCATCATCATCATCATCATCATCATCATTAGCCGTCTATTTAGCATAATTAGCGCTGTCAGCCAGATGAGCGGCAGTGCCAGTCGCAACATCGCGCCTGTCACCCTTTTCTTGCACCTTTCCGAGCTGTTTAAGAGGTTTGCGCCAGGTCGCTTGCATGTTTCCACTGATTGCTGGCTGATACAGCAGAAATTAATGATGCATTCTGATGCAACGTGGGCAAAAAAACATCCGTGGGGTGATTTCGTTTTCTTTTTTTTGAAAGACAACTCGCTGCCTTTTGTTTCTGATGCTTAACATACCCTTCAAGGCAAGAGTGGGGGTAAAAAGAAAAAAAAAACAACAACAAAACAAGCAAATCCACAGCCCTCCTCCGGTGTTCAGCTCACAAACAAACTTAAGCAGAGAGGGAGAAATGAAAGCGAGGGAAGGAGATGGAGAGAGAGCGTTACATTTACTGAAATTAAACATTTTCTCATCAGCCGGAGGGCGCAGCAGGCCCACTAATGTATTATTCATTCCCACTTCACAAAGGAACATTAATCAATTATGAAGATATGAGGATCTTAAAGTATAGAGGAGAGATGAAGAGCGGCCCGTTCTTATTAATATGCGGCCGCAATCCTGCACCCCTACTCGCCCCCACCCCGGCTCCTGAGCTCCTCAAATCAATATTTTGCAGATTAATTTGAAGCGGTTGTGGCGAGATGGCGGATGGAAGTAAAGGGGGGTGGGGGGGGGTGTCTGAGGTCTGAATTAAGGTGAAGTGTTTTGCTGTTTTTTTTTTTCCAACCCTCACGCGTGTATGTCAGCAATGTAGATATACTGTTTTTTTTTCTTTGACGATTAAAAAGACAAAATGACATAATTGAATTGTCAGAAATAAAGAAAGTCAACATAAAGCTGGGTGGAGACTGAAGGGGGGGGCAGGGAAATAACAGCACAATGATGATGCAGCAAGAATGCAAGTTGGAGCAATTTGAATCCATTTGAAATTTGGAAAACCGTGTTGGTCTTGAATTAGTTCAAATGATCTCCGCTGGGTTTTACGATGGAGTTACTCACTTTCATCCTGCAAGTCAATTAAAATGAGGAGACGCTGAGGAGAATTCCCGTTCGCATTCGCAGCCTCGTTTACACAGTGTCATCCATTTTGGCTGCGGCTCTATTTACTGAATGAACATGTTCACCTGCGCACTCCAAAGAGCAGCTCTCACAGCCCACTTTTTGCCCTCCTCCTCTACTCGAACTCCCTTTGTTTGGCTTCTCTCGTCGCCTTTCAGAAATTCTTTTAAGGTCCATTGACCCGGCCCTTTTTGCTCGTTTCATCTGTGTTACGCTTACAGACAGAAAATAAATGATGAGAGAGGTATTTTGCAAGTCACTGAAAACACCAAGACACCGACTGGAGATTTCAAGGGACTTGCCGCAGACCTGCGTTTCTTCCCACCTGAGCATGCGTGTCGACATAAGTCAACCTGGGAAGCATTTGTTGAACTACCGGTACATTGAAGAGAAGTTCTAGCATGCGGTTCCGCAACCCAGTCATTCGCTCAGGCACAAAGGGGTAAACAAACAACATCAAGAAGCAATTAGATTGGGGTCACCGGAAACGGTCACTTGAGCGTGGCAATCAGCCTGGGGAAAAAAAAAATGTCATGATACAAAGACAACTTGGATGCTTGTCTTGAATTGTAAAGGACATGGGTCGGACATCATATTTTGGTTCACTATCCACTAAATGAAAGTAGTGTCAATAATATGGTGATGAAAGCGAGCCAGTGAGTATTTCCATGTGCCTGAACCAAAAGCCACAGAAGACAATAAAAACAGCGGTGGGTTGAATTGAGCAACACCCAGCTTACCACCGCCATGTTTGTTACCCGCAGCTCGGGGATACGCGGGTAATTCATCACACGAGCCTCAACCTCTTGTTAAAGATGCCTGCGCATGGAATAGGATGAGAGAGTTACGGTACCTCTTCATTTTGCAAAGTCTTTCCCCTCGACTCACAGGCCACCTCCGACGCTGTATGCTGGGGTTGTGTGCAGGGTATTGGATCCTCTGGATCGCAAGTGTTCTGGATCACACAACCGGAGCTGTAAGAAAATAAACATGTGAGTTGTCCACTTTATTATTATTTTTTTTTTTAAGATGAGGTATGTATCACTGAGTACAATTCCATTGCAAGACTATTTTCTAGAATCAGTGGAGGAAAAAAATGTATGGAATATGTATTATTATACATGTATTATGTATAATATGTATTAAATACATATCATGCAGCCGGAATTGAACCCCGCACCTCTGTGCGGTGAGGCCTACGCGCTCAACAGTCGACCACCGGGCCGCCCTAAATATAAACGATCAAAATAACAGTCAGGACGTCTGAAAACACGACTGAAATGTTGCGTGTGGTTCCAATATGATTCACAAGATGCAAAAAGATGTTAAAAGTCACACCAAACGATGGCAACTGAATCAGATTGTTGTGTGTGCGTGCGTGTGTGTGTGTTTGTGTGTGTGTGTGTCCCAACTGTAAAAATATGCTAACTCTGCCCAGAAAACTCCTTAAGTCACCAGTGACAGCTGTCACATACCCGAGGTGGCAAAGGAGAGGAAAAAAAAAAAAAACATCACACAGTTCACAAACACGCAGGCATAAAGGCACAATCTCATGCGCTCTCTCCCTTGCTTTCTCTCTCTCTCTCTCACACACACACACACACACACACACACACACACACACACACACACACACACACACACATTTTGATATTTACTAGCCTGTTCAGATGAAACTTTGCGCAGATTAAACATGTTAAAACTCACATTTGATCAAGCGTGTCGGCACGTTGGTGCCAAGCAGCGAGGGAAAGGCGGCGTTTGACAAAAAAAAAAAAAAAAAAAAAGTGTGGATAGAGAGCATCGAGAGTTAAATCTTTCACTTCGGCAAAACAAACTTTTCAGTCAAATGGCGTGAAAGCCAAAGATGACTTTAGATTAGAGCCTGCTTCTGTTTCAAGCAAAAGAACGTGTCTCGCTATCATTTTCTATCAGACGATCACAATAAAGTGCACTCGTTTTGAGTGATAACTTTGCACAGCGTTTTATTCAAAAACAATATACACAAACCAAAAAAAGAAAAACAAGACGTACACAAATCCTGTGTTCAAGTGAACAACAAGAGGTGAGATGAATTGTGCTGGCGGGAAAAAAAAAGCACTTGCAATTTTAATAGATTTGTACGTGAACATTGAGGAATATAGCAAGAAAATGCATTCATTTTATTTTTTTATTTTCTACCCCCGACAGTTTTATGGAGACAAATGATACAGTATATGTGCTTGATTTGGTGTTTAACCATCGTACAGGCTGACGCGAGTCAAGGAAATGGATTTAACTTTTTTTTTTTTCTCAAGCTAGATGAAGCACATGCAATGCTATTCGATATTTGCTGCCTTTTTCCGAATGTAAACACAGCAATAACAATGTGAGTTTGTTTGACGACTGGGAGCGACCAAAGACGTACTTTGAAAAGATATTTCTAGTTTTGATTACAATTCCGCAATATGCAATTTTGAACCATTTGGTTCAGCACACCAGAAAGAGAGAGTTGGCCTAAAAAAAAAAATGGAGTTTTGAAACTCTTCTTAAGTAGCGACGCATACACCACGTCATCGCTCGAATGCAAGAAGGTCATCAGGTCGACTGATGCCACAGCTGCTGTGATCATTCCAGTGTGTGAGTTTCTGCGCGCTTCCTAATTATGAGGCTGTATGTCTACTGTTAAGTAGCTGTGCATTAAAAAAAAAAACAACAACAACAACAAAAAAACGCTACAATATGCTGACAGATGAAAGGGGGATTCCCACTTGGAGTCCTAAGTGTCATGATGATTATTGTGTGACAGAGAAGAGGGCAAGCACCAGTGCATCCGTGTGCTTGTGTGTGTGTGTGTGTGTGTGTGTGTGTGTGTGTGTGTGTGTGTGTGTGTGTGTATTTTATTCAAGCACGCTCTCAATTTCTCAACCCGTCACTCGGGCCCATTAGGCAAAAGCTAACAAAATTTGTCATGAATATGCAGTAATAACATGCAAATTGCTCCTCCCTGCCCTTGCCCCTGATGCGAGTGTGCGCAAGCTGTGGGTGCGTGTGTGCGCATTTGCCCTCGGGGCTGTAGACGTTTGGCTTTGTAAGCCTAATTCTTTCTACGCCATTACAGCGACAGGGCATCATTCAGAAGAACAGAAACATTCAAATGCGTACGCCATGTGCACGAGCGCGCCCACAAATGCAGACGCAAAATGGCGCCTTTCGCTCCTCGCTTCACATTTAAAGGTTAATGTACAACAGGTTATTCTTTTATGTGTGCCACGGGTCTCTCCCGCACACTCTATTGGCACACAAACACGCACCAACACGTCGATGGTCTGTTGCCTCCTCCTCCCGAGGGTGATGTTTGACACAGCTTGGGTGCTGCCACAGCAATTAACCCCCTTGTTAATGAGAGGAGCGCTGTCGAGCAGCCAGATGGCACTGGCTGGCACGCTGCCACACACGCACACACACACACGGAAATAAACGGCAAATGGACAGACACCTCCTCACACAGCGAAGCTTTGCAGATTCACCGGTGCTCCCTCTCTCTGTCTTTGGTGGCTGGCCACCTTTCTACATGAAGTTTTCAGCCTCCCTTCTTCCCTGGCAGCTGTTTATGCATGACGCATGGCGGCACGTCGCAACTAACCGGCTGGGCAAACAGCAGGCTAGGAGATGCCAAGAGTCGAATCACGAAGGGGGGGAATCTCTTGAGAAGCGTGCGCGAAAGCCGTCATGATTGATTGACGTCGTCATTAGAGCGGCTGTAGCACAGGCTAGGTCAGCTGTAACGTTCTGGATATGATCCGATTATTAGTTATGAGATCATGCAATGGGGAGAGTGGTAATATCCTGCTCGTGGCGCAGGCACGGGTCCCCGCGCAGGCCTACCACGGGGCCGGGTATTGATCAGTTAGCTTGAGCTAATAGGGGGAAGAGGAGCCTGACCTGGGAAAGTCAATACGGAGAAAAAGAGACACTTCCGCGTCGTGTCCTGACAGAGAGGTGCGTGGCAGCGACGGGGAGCGAGCCAAAGTCGAAAAAAATGGCAAGAGCCAACTGATCTGGAGTTTGAAAACGATAACAGTTGCACCAATGGCAGGGGGTAAAACCACCCGTGAATGTGGCTACCTTTACTTGGTGAGATGAGGAATTTAAGCAAAGCTTTTTTTTTTCTCCCTCTAACTAACTTTCCAACACTTTTACGGATAAGAAAAACGGCACTCAAGATAACTGCAAAAACTCTCCGGGAGATTTTATAAAGAAGAAAAAAAAAATGACACTTACTCGCACATCAATACATTGATAGATCAGCCTGTGTGTGTGTGTGTGTGTGTGTGTGTGTGTGTGTGTTCTGTACACTATCTGAATGCAAAGTATAAATATAAAAATAAACAAAAAAAAAAAAAAAGGAGAGGAGGAACGGAAGCGCAGATAAAAGACTGAGGATTTCACCACATAGCCGTGCACGCAAGTACACACACCTGGCTGAGTGATGCCACCCTAGAGGGTGGCTTCAATCTGATGTATTTAATGTTGACGCTGGTGGCAAGAAACACACGCGCAAGCGCGTGCGCACACACAAAACTCACCCGCTGTTTCAAACTGCCTGTCATTTCATTTCATGAGGCCTGATTTACTCATTTCATTTATTTTAGTATGACTATATGTGCAGCCGTTTAAAGCACTCAGGGTGGAAGGTAAATCCCCCCCTCCCCGCCCTGAGCTCACTGACTGCAGAGCCATTCTGCCCCTCAGTTCAAATCATGGCGAAAATGCCCCAAACTCCATGTGCGCCCGCAGCCCCGATTTGGATGGGAGCTTTAATTGCCGTCAAGCTATTGCTCACTCTCTCGGTGTCACGGGATACAGTCTGTTCTTCATTTTTCAGATGGCTTCCGCTGGTGGCACAAGATGGCGGATGCCGTGTTCCTTTTTACACAATGACATTAAAGCAGCCTTCACGTTCTGGATTTTCTCCTAAGATGCGCAAAAGCCTTTGAGTTTGGCTTCTGAACGTCATAAAAACAAAGGCACGGTAATGCAAAGGGATCATCGCGCTGCAATGTTGCATTCGCTCTCTATAACTACAACTGGTCACTGTCGTGGATTCATGGCAAGTAAATACAAAGAAAAAAAATGTCAAGTTGTGTTCATCTATATCTCAAATCCGAAGGGATCGAGATTGCAATGGTGAAAAGTTATTGTCGCCGTCTTGTCTTGTTTCGTGTGAAACTTAATAAAATAACCCTCTCAAAGCGGGGGCGGCTAAAACATAGGCCTGGCAAGTCTTTAAGGGTTCTGCAGCACTGGGTGCTGGTAGGAAATATCATTGAGGGATTTACATATTGCCATGGGGAGGAGTTGCTGATGCGCTTATCTGCTGTGGAGCTCAGGCTCCCTGAGGAGGAGCAGCCCAGTCCCTGAGGCCAACTTTCCCTGCCCCCCCTCTGTCAAAGCATGGGGAGATTTGTGTTTGTGTGCATGTAGGTACGTGGTTGATCATCAAAGTTAACACCGGCGTCTGTTTTGAAAGTTAAGGAAGATACATACTTTTGGGCCGGTCCAACAAAGCGAGAAGTCGTCAGCTCGACGTCGGACATCTGTGCAAAAACAACAGGGTTCACATTGTCACTTCGCTGACTGAGAGGTCATTTTGGAAGAAAGTAAAAAAAGATATACATGAAACAACATTACAATGGCACCCCTGTGCTTCTGTGAAATGTAACACTTTTCCCAAGAAATTATCACTATGACAGTTTTTCCCGTGTTTATTTATTTAGTTTGCATTGCAGCAACACAAAGAAACAGAAGGAAAATCTGCTCATTCCACACACAAGTCCCCAAATGGACTGGGGGGTGGGGGGCGGAGAAAATCCATGGCAGCTTGGACAAAATATTTGGTAGAACAAATAACTGAAATCGATTGCTTCTGCAACCTTCAGCAAGTTTCTTACAACTGTGGAATTTTGGCCCACTCTTCCTCTTCTGTTGCCAACTGCTCCAGGTCTCTCAGATTTGAAGGGTGCTTCTTCCCAACTGCTGTTTCGACAGCTGTTCAGAAGATTTCGATCTGGACTCACGGCTGGCCACTCCGGCACTTTGTCTTAAGCCATTTGGGGAGTTTATTATTACTATTTTATTTTATTTTATTTTTTCTGCTCCGGGGTAACCTATTTGTAGCCTTGACACTGTCAATGCTTTGCCACAATTTGGCTTTTCAAATCAATTTGACAATTCTCTCTTTTCGCCACGCTCAGCGTTGTCCACGCAGACACACAACACAGAGGACGCGTCGCCTTGTCCCCATTTCAAGTGACTGCCAAGTGTGATTTCAAAATTGCCCGCATCCAAATGTGAATTCCCTTCTGAACTCAAGGAGAACGGCACACTTGCAATAACATTCTCTCTTGCATTATTTTGTCCTGCCATTTGTGGACTTGGGTATGGAATGATGAGATGTGCCGATTTTTCTCTGCTTTTTTTTTCTTTGTGTTGTTCCAATGCAAACAAAAGAAAAACATGGGACGACCTGGGATTTTAAAATGGCTACAACTTTGGGGGAGAACTGGCGCATTGTCAGACAGAAGCACAGGGGCGCCAATATTCTTGGCCGTGGCAGTTGTCGAAGACCACAAACTAACAAACACGGGAAAAAGCAGCATGCATTTAAAATAAAGTTCTTCATAAAATGAAAAATAGTATACAGTGATGGAGTGTATGAAAAAGAGAGAGAGAGAGAGAGAGACACGGTACTATAGCGGTGAAGTATTAGGCACTCTATCGTTGCAGTGACAGGGGTCATTTGGAGAAAAGCAAATCAATAGCGACAGCTATGACTCATTGGCCAACGCGTGTGTGTGCATGTGTATGTGTTTACCCGCGTTCAAGTGTGCATATCAGAATGCAAAGTTTTTGTCTCTGGAGAATATTTTTATGAGTGGTGTGCAACTTTCCAAAAAAGACGATTGCATACGTTTTTCAAGATATGGCGTGTGATTCGATTCAAGGACGGTTCGATTTGAAAGCGGACTGATTCGATATGGTACGGAGCAATTTGAGACGGGATCAGGCAATGGCTTTTTTGTTGAACTGAACCGAACTACAACTAAAGACAATGTTCAAAGTATTTCAAATGCAGCACGCGTGACTTAATGCTGACAGTGTCCTTCACTACGGTCAGTCAGCAAATATATGTTTGTACAATTCTAAAATTCCAGTTCACGCATTAAATAATAAATGAGCGCCCCCCCCCCCACTTTTATTCCGTGTTGTTTTTTTTTTCCTTTTTACAAGAGTATAACTGAAAAAAAATGCAAGAATTGGAGTAAATCTTTACAGAGGGATGTGCTTCTTGCCAGACGCAACCCCCCCCCCCCCAACATAAAAATGGATATTACACTGCATCTGCACCGAGAGGACCCTGACACGGATCGAGCTCAGTGGCTAATATAGATGGACTGAATGAATATGTGCATGTCTTTGTAATGTCGCGGGTTAGAAGGAGTTACGACCTGCTTACATTATTGAGGTGAGTAGTGGGCTTGGTTGGGTGGCCTAAACAGCTAGTCAATTCATTACAGATGCAATCCCTTAAGTACATGAATAAGCACACTGCCTCCTCCACTGCTCTACACTGTAAAAGAGACAAAATATTGGTGGGATGCAGGGCACTTTCGATAAATCAGAAAAGGGAGCAAATTAATAAGGAAAAAAAAAAAAAAAAACAACAACATTAGCTGATTAAGTATGTATGTGCCGAGTGACGGATGGAATTTACGGGCAGACTGGCCGGGTGTCCGGAATAAGGTCTCATTACGGATCACCGTGCTCGTGTGCGTTCTGTTGATAATCCTTCACCGGTGGTCACCGTTTCGTGAAGTCCTCCAATCTATGCTCATGAGCCCTACAAAGATTAGAGATTTGGGAATCCATTTATTTGTGGCAAGATTTCTGAGATGATGGATGTTTGCCGGTTTTATAAAGGGATGCAAGTTAAAAAACTGTGATGCATTTATTCTGTGCAGCAATGGTGTGACCTCATCTTTTGTCGACGAAATGAGATGGAAAAGCCTCGGCTCTTTTCTCCAAAATATTTCTACCTCCTCCTTTGTAGATAGAAGATGATAAAGAGATGAGCCCCCCTAAACACTTTCATAAACGCTAATGCGTGACGTCTTCTTTTGTGCCTGTCCGTTTTTGTAAATGTGACTGAATACATACAAAGATTGGATTTAACTAATAAAGGATTCAGAAATCAGAAATAAGCACATGAAGAACAATAACGCTAATAATAATGAAATGATTATCATCATCATCAAGACTCGGACCGACATAGTCAAACTGATGGTACCGTGATGAGTAAAGAAACCGAGAAATTGCAACAATCATTCACAGAAATGCTTTATTTCCTTCCTCTGTCAAGGTTCATGTTTTCTTCCATTTAGCCTTCATTTCTATTCCTTGCTTCGCAACGGCCAACCTTGTAATATTCTCCTGTCTCTTCCGTTCTCATCTAGTTGCCCCTCACCCTCTCATCTCTTCTCGTTTCTTTATCTCTCCAAAAATGGCTATCCATTTATGCAATCATTTCATTTCTCCACTCTCCTTCAAGCCTTTTGTCTGGAGCCAGGTCAACTGAAAGCAACCAACGGAGGAGGGGGGAAAAAAAACTAATGCAGAAACGTGTGCGTATGAACAGATATTACAAGATGGAGAAAAAAAATGGAATACAGTACTCCAATTCAGCGTGATGGTGACTACAAGGAACACGAGAGCTGCCGAGTGCCCATGTCAAGGCCTGCATGTTCAAAGTAGCGTGTGCAAAAGTGTAAAGGTTATTTTTGTCCCTCAGAAGCCAGTGGCATGCGGATTGCAACAATGATGACAGACGATAGCAGGGATGGGCAAGTTAAAGGAGTGCGGACACATTTACAATCACAGGGGTTACCAAACCTGAGGTCAAAAATGTGGTTACTCCTCAAATTTAGAAGCATTAAAAAAACAATCATTTGGCTAAATAAGACAGCCCCTGCCGTCAGTGTTTCAGATGCACCAGGAAGAGTTCCATTCCGGGGCTGATATATTAACCAAGGTTTACGAGGGCAGAGCACTACATATGTAAGTTTGGCCTTATGGCTGACCTTACAATGCACTTAGTATCCTGTACAGGGAGTAATGCTGCAGCCACTCCCACAAGCCATTTATTTCAGTTAAAGACCGCCAAGCACTCATAAATCAGCATTAGGAACCTCTCTCAGTCTCTCATGCCTTTTATTGTCTTTTTTTCTTTTTTGGGAGGGGTGGGGGGTCCGATTAACTCATTGTTATATTTATCGTCAAAGAGTTAAATATCACAACCACGAGAACATTGGAACTTTGCCATACCTTTTACCTCCCTGTCCTCTCAAAATGTCCTTCGATGTAGCACCCGAGCGGTTGTTTTTGTCACCCCACCTATTACAACCCGCCAGCCCACCCGCTTTGAAAAGTCCTTGGATTGCAAATAGAGACAACGTCCCTGAAATGTCTACGCTGCTATCGGCACCTCTATTGATGTTAATTAGGCTAATTAGTTAATTATTTCAAGGATCAAATGGGGGAATTCATTTCTGCCTGAGCGGTAGTGGGGGAGGATTCTCTCTGGCCATGGTGGGACAGTGGAGCTAATATGGTCATGAAGACTATCAATTATCACTCACAGCCAAGTCATTAACAAGCACATTAGCATAGTCAGCCACCGCAACGCCTTGACCTCCGGTTCTCGCTCTCACGTCTGTTTCGTTTTTCATCCAGGCCGCTGCCACTTCAAGTGATGCGCGCGAGTGTCTGCGAGAGAATGATCAAGGCCGCACGAGGGAGTTGTTGTGGAGTCAATGCCAAGCGTTGTACCTCAAAGGACATCTCGCTTTGACGTCAACGGTACAACAAAATTGTATTTGGAGATATTAATATCATATTGGGTTTCCTGAAGTCTAAAGACGTTGCTACGTTCAAAAGCTTGCAAAAAAAAAAAAAATTCAGACGACGTGAACTTTAACCTCATTTAAACTGCTTCTATTGATCGCCATCAACGATGGCGTGCACAATGATGGGTGCCAATTTGAAGCTGTCCTTTTGCATTGAGGTGATGCAGAAAACCCCCCACTGCCATCGGGATAGCTTTGTGTGGCATTTTGAGGGTTAAAGGTCATTGACCATACGAGTCGGATTCGCTGCAAAGCCAGGTGCGAAAAGAAATAAAACGGCATCGCTGCTTCTGATATCAGTTTCTTTTTTATATTGTGGAATCCGTAAAGCTGACTTGGTTTAAAAAAAAAAAAGCGTTTATTTGGGTTAGAGTTAGGGTATTGGTTTGTTGACAGAAAAGCCACTGCTTCTGTATCCAAATATTGTATCAAAATCGCCCATGTCCTGTTGAATTGTATGGTTTGAAAAAAGAGATACATCGCTTTGTGTTAAATGGTTAGGCTTAAGTCAATACGTATCACATCGGTTAAAAAAAAAAAAAACATGACGCCACAAGTAATTTGTGGCCACAGATTTACATTTATGTCTCATCGGTGAACCTTCTGGTAAATGAGTGATTCACCGATGATAAATAGTTGTATTTTGAAGATAAAATACGGAGAGTAATGGCTCTACAGCATATTTCAGACGACAGAACAACAAAACGGTCCATCAAAAGAGTGCACAATCAATCCCCCCAAAACCTGTTTTTGGTTTGGGTTTATTTTGATAAACTGGTATTGTAAGCATTTAACCATTGTATGGTGTTGATGAGATGAACGGATCAAAGAGAGGGCCAGCAGCTCAGATGATCCGAACTGATCCTAATCACACTCTGATCCCGTTGAGGCCCCTCAACCGTGCGCCACGCTGGCCCGAAGACAAGAAGCCAAACACCGAGTGTTAAAATATGCTCCCAACAGACAAAGAACCGCTCGATCAAGTTTTACAGTACTGTCTTATCAGACTCGTGCAGATTGCTCTCGGGCAAAAAGTGGAGCCCAAATTTCGATTCTGGATATGAAGGCACTGCCAACGCCTAAAAAGAGATGAATGAACAGGTATGTGAAACTGTGTTTTCGCCTTGACCCTTATTTACAGTTAGCAATTTATAGCTACGCTTTTTAAGATCTTTCCAGACCGAAACCGAGACGAGAAGGTCAACATTTGCTTCGCCTCCCCATCTGGGAAAATAGAGAGCTGCGAGAACTGTCGCAAGCACCTGTAAGTGAGACATCACCATCCCGCAAATATCATTGACTGCCTTTGACCAAAACCAACCATGTCCAAGACCTTCAAAATCTCTTAAAACACAGCCAATCCACCTCTCCGCGTCCCTTTCAAAGTTCATTGCAACGACGTAATTGATTCTTCCAAGTCGTCACGTTTTCTAACCTTCAGTGAGGTTTTCCATGTCACTTTGCTTATTCCAAGTAAAAGGTTTCCTACCATAGAGTGAGTTACGTTCCAGACAGACAAAAAGCAAAACGTCATCACCGGTTACCATAAATGTTATTTTCAAAGTCGTGCCGTGTCCTACGCAGTCCTGTGTTGTGTCAACGAGGAAGACGAGTACACCCTCCCACCGCTTTGTTGAGCCAAAAGACAAAAGAATAGTCACGCTTGTTCTAACGCCCAGAATACAAAGACCGAAATGATGCCTGCAAAAACTCTGGACAGAGGATTGTCAATTTGAGTCCGACTCTATTGTACATCAACGAGACCTTACACGACAATTCAATCCAGATGCTCGCCAAGCTCCGATTACAGAGTTCATTGCATTGTTTACATGCTGGAAAGGTCCATAAGTAGCTCTAAATGCTCTTCATTTGATTGGATTTCACATTATGGACATCAGAGCAGAAACGCACTGTTGTCCCCGGACGACTATAATAGACTGTTGCGCGAGTGACTCCATTTGTTTGTATTTGTGTACCAATCGAGAGGGTGAAAACATCCAAAGCGGCCTCAATGGACAGCCGGCCCACAATTCAAGTTTGGCGAGTTAACACAATGGAGATGCTTCTAATTTTTCGCACCATTTTCTTCGGCTGCCCCGGCCGATACTCTCTTTTTTGGTCACCATCAATGTCAAAACGGTTCTCCTGTCTCACTAAATAGGCAGAAGGATTATTTGTTATTTTTGGTAGTATTTTGAACAAAGAAAATGTCATTTTTATCAGCTCAGCAATTTTGCCTTTGTTCCCGCAAGAATAAGCTCTTGGTGATTATCACTTTAAGTGGACATTTATTTATTTATTTATTTATTTATTTATTTTTGCAATGTAAACATGTTTATTCTTCCGCCTATTCAGGAAATGCACCAAACAAAAGCCCCAGGAGGTGAAGGTGGAAAGCTGTTGAATGCCAAGAACTGTAGTGCATTGTATTCCGGTGACTTTTGCAAACTGCATGGAGAGGACACAACGCTGCCCTGCCGACCTCCACCACAAAAGCAGGCATGTACTTGAATGTGCCGTATAATAGGCTGCAACTACATTTCCACATGAAAATAAATAAATAAATAAATCACACGAGCTCATTCAAAGACTGGCCATTACTGAACCCGAACAATACAGGAAGCTCACACAAAAGTGATCATGACAACTTTCCCGTCTTGATTCCATGCGGTCTTTACTTTTGAAAAAGAGGATTGACAAGTGCCATTATGCTCTCATGCCTATGTCAACATTTTTTTGCTGAAAAATAAAACCCACTACGGCTATGCAACAACTTCTCAAGTCACAATTCATTTCGTGATGCTCACAGGAGTACTAGTTTCAAATTTCAACAGCACAGGCAAGCATTGCTTGAATAACACGTTTACATTCTTGACACTCTTACAACGGTAAAAATAGAGATGATAACATTTATATTCTATCAGCAACCAGGAGCGAGATGACCACACCTCTTTCCTATGTCGCCATAAGTTGCATCTGGAGTTCTATGGTCATCAAGTCACTTTTCCCACAGGGACCCACAAAGAAAGTGACAGAGAAAAGTACAATTGTGGGGGCAAAACATTCAGAGATTCAGGGGAGTTGAAATCCCAGTCGAATGGTTGAAGTCGTGCCTGTCATGCATGACGGTGCTTCGGTCAGCATAGATGTCTGGTTGAATTTTGCATTGGATCACTTTAGAGTTTCCACTATTAAAATATTCACTCTGAAACCTTTGACGACCATCATTCCAGCTATGCCCAGTCCAAATTTTTGCCAGTGCGATTCAAGCGTTTGTGTTCTACTACGGTATGATAGTTTACAAGGGGTAAATCTGTAGGTCTTGCTACGACGGGTCACCAGAAACATCCCGTAAATCGAGCATTAGAAGAGAAGGTGAAAAAAAATGCATTAGCGAGATCGAGGAGTGCAAAGCTGATGCCACTCGCACCTCCTCTGTATTATTGAATAATGCATCATAATAACCACAGGCTTGTTGTTAGAAGGACCATGCTTGTTTCTTAACATCATGACTGCCCTACTTTTATCATGTGCAAGAGGGGGTATTGAATTGGCATTAATGTTCCACATGTTTGCTACCAGCCAAAACAAAAGCCTAGAGCTGAGATAAACAAACATACAGTACTTGCATGACAGGGGTGCCAGATTATGAGATACCCCTAAAAAATATAAATATATATCATGCTTTAATAAGACGAGAAATGTGAAGACCACATTGTATCCAGTATTTTCCATTTGTTTCGGATACTCCTTGCGTGCTATGAAAGGTCAACATCTTAGCCAGGTTCATGCTGTGAAGCTAGAATCCACTGATTTCATAATTTAATTAAAAATAATTTGGTGTTTTGATTTTAAAATGCTGCATCCAACAGTGCTAATGCAATGGGACCACAATGGGCACTTTAAGTCTGTGGTGGAGAGGACACCAAAAAAAACAAAAAACTGTGGTGGTAAGCAAAGTAAAAAGAGCTACACTGAATGATGGTGAATATCAATTAGACTCAAAGAGCGTCAGCTTCGAGGAATTGTGCAAAGAAATGCAGTGTGTCTCGTTTGAATCATTTTTTTGAGTGAGTAAAAACTCTTAAACGTCCATGGTGAGTGAGTAGCTTCACAAAAATGCAAGTTAGGCTTCTTTGACGAATGTGCATAATTTCTATATGATAAAAGGAAAAGTTGCACATGCAATACGGTTCGGGAGCAACACAAACCCACGGTGAGTTGAATTACTTCATCTTTTTCAGTGGACAGGCTTTATGATGTAGAGTTCACATCAGCCTTTAGGACAAGGGAGCCGCTGGGTTCCAAACACATAACCTCGTTAAGAAGGCCCTTGAATGGGCCTGGCTGACCAAAAGCCGTCTCGAAAACCTTGTTACGCTTAAGTTGATGCACAGCCCGGCTCACGCAGACTACATTCTGTCGTTAAATTATGTCACATGACAATCTAGATGATTAGAAAGCTCGCTTGTGTGTGTGTTTTTTTTATTTTTTTAAATATGACTTGGGATCAGTCTAACTGATCTGTGCTACTCCGATTGAACCATAATGCAATTTGCCACCTGTTACAATTGCCATAGCTTTATGAAAGTGGCCCCTGTACTTCCTCCTGCTATTTGTCTGACAGAACAGAGGCCATCTCCTTATGAGCATGTCCCAGGGAAGTGGACGTTCTTTGATTTGGACTGGATGTATAGTAACCCAATAACAATAGTTGGTGGGAGCAAATTATGCGATACAAAATTCAGTTGATTCAATTTGTACTTTTTTTTTTTTTTTTTAAACTAAATGCTGAATCCACTGTGTTGTTTGGAAGCATATTGTTCCGGTTTACTGTAACCCGAATACTTATCAAATGTTTAATTGTGGTTTCTCTCGATTTATTTCGTTTATATCTGGGCAAATGGCAATGAAAGTGATGTTCTGGTCTTTTCCGTCCAATTCCAACGGCACCTCCAAATTGTAAGACAGTCTGAGAGTTGAAAGGAAAAACCTCGTTTGACTTTACGTGCATACTGTATATTAGGGAAAACAAAACGTAAGTACCCTTCAGTAAATTACCTCAAAATGTCCCACCTGACCACAGCACCCGTGAAGGCAGAACTTTTTTTCACCTATATCCCAAAGTGCATGTGTACCGAACGACGTGTCCGATGAGTAACGCGATCTCACCTGCAGCATCACCTCTGAGTTTGCCCTCATGTCCAATTCCGGGTATCTCAACCTTTGCGCGTGCAGTGTTTTTAATTCCTTCGAAAGTTGTTGAAATGGGTTTGCAGGTGAGCTCTGTGTGACATCTTGTACTTGAAAGACTGCGGACGCGTTGAGAGCGGCGCTCTCTTCTTCCGCAATTAGGCGTTGCCCTGGATGCTTTTAATTTAAGATCACGCGTGTAGAGTTGTTTTCCAAATAAGTGCACGGTCTTTCATTGAAGAAACCATCATCGTGTTGTGGGTGTTTACTAAACGACAGAGGAAAACAACAGCAGCACATCACAAATGAAAGACAATATATTAGAATTACTGTCCTTTTGTCCATTGTATTCGTTTGCAAAATGGTCTCCATGGGAGGTTACCACAACAGAAAAAGTCCTCTAAATTTTATTTTAAAGGGCACACGCTCTCAACACAGTTTACCGCTGCGTGACGTTTCGTCACCTGATTGGCTATACGGTTCGTCATGGAGCGTTTGGTGACGTTATACCTCACTATTGGTCACTTCCTTTGACGGGGCGGGATCAACGTTGCATCCCGGAAAAACATGGTTTGTTGTCTGTCAGGATCACAGTGCTGAGGAATTCCTTGTAAACACTGAACTTACTTACCTCGAAATGGGTAACAATATTTCTTCTGTCACGCGGAAACGTTTTTTTTTATATTATTAAATCCCAAACGTAATCTATTCCCGCACACCCCGCTTGTTTCGAAGAGCATATTATTATCACTGTCGGATGTCTCGTATGTGTCCACAGCGTCGATCTTTTGTCAGTACTTTCAACATGACTATTGCTTTTATCATATATTTCCTGTAAATTAAATCAGAAAACCGCCAGATTACGAGCATTCGATGTAACGTGCAGACCAAGATGAAACTGCAGCGCTGGCTGCATTACTTTGAAAATGTCGCACACTCCTCCCATTTGATTCTTGTTATTCTACTAAATAATCAATGCCAGAGATCAAGGTCTCTGACATCTAGATTCAAGGCTAACTTGATCTTATTGATTTCTTTTGACTATTCACTTCATCTTTCTCATCCCAATCATCACTCCTCTACTCTTATCTGTCCTGCGGTTATATCAGCTCTTTTTTTCCAGTGGCTTTGAATGCGCTGCTCTCACACAGACTAATCCCCTCTCTGATTATCTAATAATGCTCTTTACTTATCATGAAAAAGAATCAGATGTGGGGTTTTTGAAGACTGATGGGTGCCAAAAAAATTTAAAACAGAGGGCAATGCAATTTTTAGCAGCGAATGGAGTATGATAAACATGACCCATGGCTAGCCTGGAACTGAACAAACACCCCTACTTTACACCCAAGACAGACTGCAGTGTCTTGTGAAAGTCTTAATCTCCCATTGAACCTTTTGACACATATCTGGTTTCAAACATAAAGATATAAAATTTTGTTTTGTATCACCTGGACATGTTTAATTTCGAACCATTCCATTGTAGATTTTGCTTTATGTTTACAATCCTTGTTTTGTTGGAAGCTAAACCCCTGTGCTACACTCAGTTTTTATTTTTATTTTTTGCAGACTCCAACAGGCCTTTAAACCTTGCGTATTCATTTATTAGCCACTCCTTATTTTCTTTGACATTCTTTGTGCATTTTGCCCTCTAAATATTTCATGATATATTTTATTTTATTATTTTTTTTTTCAAACTTGGTTTAACTACATTACGCCCCTCAGCATACTCACCCTTCATCCTCAGCAAATCAGTTAATTCTCTTTTATAATTCACCTTCTGAGTATGCCAGGTGAAGTAAAGGATGAAACATTTTTGTATGTCGAATGTTATGGAGTAACTAACGTGAATTCTCTTGGTGTCCTTACCCTATGGCTCGAAGGAGTCTCGGTGAAAGAGAAGAGTCTTGATAGAGCGTTACCGTGTGAATCCACCGACATGTCCCGAAGACCCCTCTTTTTGCATCTGCACACATTCATTTTTCATGAAACAGAGTCATAACAATTAGTCTGGTGACTGCCTGGGTAATCTTAGCTTTTGCGCAATGCATTTGGTCTGTCGTATGACATCACGCTTTTAAAAGTTCTACGTTCAACGTCCTCATTTGCTCTCACAGTGAGGACGTTATCAGCTCTTGGCTAATAAGGGCCACAAGCCTTCATCGCCAATACAGGGCAACAAAGAGGGCAGGGGAAACTGACGATGGGCCGAAGCGCTCAGAAAAATAGCTTTGATTCCCCCAAGGTTTCACACAAATTAATTTCCAGGAGCAAGAGAAATAGAAGTTGGAAACTTGGTATTTCATCCATTTTTAGCAATCGTTTTATTTACACTGACAACCTTAGCCAATTCCCCTTTTTTTCCATTGCATATCGTTAAACTCGCCTCTGTTTTGGTTTCCACTTTGAATTTGTCAGCAGTCGAAAGGAAATTTCAAAACCCTGCATGTCACCCAGCCACTAATTTAAAAACAAACAAACAAAAAAAAAAACATTGGAGATGATGGTCTGTGTGTACTTCTCAGTGTACGGCCACCGTAAGCAGACATGACTCGCTCGAGATGAGACTTAGAGCGGTAAAAAAAAAAAAAAACTGGCTGCTACAACAAAGTGAAGACGGTGAAGCATTGAGAGATAATGCATAGCAACAGGCGAATGTTCGCATGCGCGCGCGTGTGTGTGTGTGTGTTTATATATATAGCTTGGCCCACTGAATAGGTAAGGCCTACTAGAAATAAAGTAGTCCGTGGTTGTGATAATGGAAACGCCAGATGTCCGAATGGCGGTACGGAATCATCATGAAGCTTTGCTGCTTTTGTGTACTGTATAAGAACAAAATGCAATGGCCTTTTTAGCATCCCCCTTCCTTTGGCCCCCTGCTCTTGACACCTTCATCCCCTCCCTTGACACCAAAGCCAAGGTCAAGAAGAAAGTAGCGTTTTCCTGCGTCTATAGGGTACTCCCTGGGCGCCTTGCCCCTCACTATGGCAGATATGCTTCAGGAATGTTCCCTCCTCTTTTATTGTGGCTGTTAGTTTCAAGGTCAGCTCCTCATATTTTGTTCCTCCTTGGCTATCTTTGCGCCCAGTTTTTCCCCCTTCCACTGTATCAGCAAACAGTAGCACCACAGCGCAGCCGGGGGTTTCAGGATGCCTTGTCTGACATATCGGTCTTTTTAATCTGTCCGATTGCCGCTCTATTTTTCTTGTGGGTGACTTTTTAGAGGACCGGGGCAGCCGGGAGGCTTCTGTGTGCTTTTGTTGCCCGGCGTCTGCCTTCGCCACACCGGTCAGAGCCACATTTAGCTCGCGGCAACATTACACCGTGTTGCCCGCTAGATTGGATATGGTTGTTGTCGTCGTCAGTAAGCCTTGCCATTCAGCCTTGAGTCTCTGCTCTCATCCTTTGTCTGAACAGGATGCACGCGGGCGGACAACTTTCATCCGGCCTGAATCAAAATAACTTAAATGATTTTAAAAAGGGCTTATCATATCCCCGATTGCGGGGGACTCTAATGTATTTATTTATTTGTGTGTGTGTGTGTGTGTGAGACTTGTTTTTTATCATCCCTGAACTTTTCCACCTGGCCTTGTGACTCTGCGAGGGATGCCGTTTTGTCGGGATTGATTGGTTGCCCGGCTGAGCCGCCAGGAGGGAATTATTAAGTAAATCGACCGCATGTACGTGCGGGTTTTATACGAGTGAGCTTCCGCCGTTTGCGTGCAGCCGCTTTCCAGTGTGGCTTGCGCACACGAAGCCCTCTACTCTGACACAACGCCTGACTTTTGACTACACGAGAGCCATGGATTTCTCGCTGTCCAACAATATCAGCCCCGTAAATTCAAATGGCACTGACTGAAGTGTCCGCTTGTTGTATATCTGGCAAGTGCGGCAAGTCTGAAAGGAAAGTGTCGATAGCAATCGCGGCTATTGATATGGCAGTGGGCCGGAGATGTAACATGCCCCGCGACTCTGCGCTATCCTCTGGATCCCACTCCATCATAATTACATTAATATTGACAGACCCTTGACAATAGTCACATTACTATTGATAGGTGGCTGTCAATACAGTGTTTCCCCAAATAAAACAGATTCATTCAGAACTTGTAAACTGCTCGATAAAGGGCTTTGAAAAGAATATTGGACCCGGCTGGGTTTACTCCTCCCGGGAGTGCTGTTGTTGCTGCTGTGGTGGGGCTTTTCTGCACCTTGCTGTACACTTTGCTGTTTGTGTGCATGTGTGTGTGTGTGTGTATGGCGGCGCACTCGATGGATTGATTGAGCACACTATTAGCGCATAGATCAAGGCTACTCTTGACAAACCTACAGTAAGTAAATAGTTCGTCCACACGCAAGGCACATAATCTGCACATTTTTTCACGTCAAGGCAAAACTTTAAGATTAAGCTAAACAAAATGGAGCGCCTGTTTTGTGGTTACTTCACACTTGGAGGCTACTTTTATTTTTTTTTTAATCCAAACTCCTCTTGGGTCACATGCGCGGTTCTAGTCACGATATATTTTCAAATTCAATTCAATGAATGTGTCACACCTGCTTGCTTCAACACAAATTCAGCCCTTCCTCCCATTGGTTTGCTAATTCTGACTTTGTTGGACGGCGACTCGTCCATCCATTGAAACATCATGAATACAGAGACGGGAGCGAACCATTGGCCCTGCGCATTACATGAGCTCTCCCCCACCTGTGAGCCTTCTCAAGTGACCATCATCTCCTTCTCTTTCTGTCCAAACTGCCATATTTACCCCACGGAAATCTCCAAAGCCTCATGACAAATCCAGTTCAGCGAGACACAAAAGCCAGTGTCAAAAAGCGCCCCTCTCGGGCTCTCTCCGTCACTCTTTTGCTCCGTCTCTCCCTTGTGCGAGCGAGTTGCCCATTTCCTAAGCGTTTCGGTGGAGGAAAAGGGCCAGATAAAAACCGGGGAACTGAAAGCGGTTTGCCGCGCAAAATAGTCCAGACGTCACAACGGCGCAATCCCGCATGGAGTCGACTCCGGGGAGTGGAAGACTGTTCCACATTTGGCAGATGTTGACGGCGTAGCGGAGACTGTGCCGTTAGCCTAATCCCTCGTGATGTGATTTGTATACACACTCCTATCTCCAGAGGGTGCAGGCACCAGGAGCCTCGGGCCTCGCCGTGTGTGTGTGAGCGTGCGGGTTTCTTTGGATTGTGTGTGCTTAATACACTGGAGGGAGATGACGACCCCTCCCCACCCGTTCCTTTGCATTGCACGGCTCAAAGGTTGCATTAAGGACGGATTTTAAATGTGAAAAGTGATTTCCCTCCGTATGTATGAGGAGAAAATCAGCCTCCAAACAAGATGGCCTTCGCCTCAGGGGCCCTGATCCTGCCCACAACCGAGTTGTTCTCGACTCGTTTGACTCTGTGGGTACTTTCCCCAAGTGTGGCATCTGAAATAGATTGGCCACGGTGCTGCTGATACGATCGTGAAATCAAGTCAAGCAAAGTCAATTAGTGGGGGCATCTTTGAATAATCATTTGGGCACGTTGCGGATCCAAGACGTAGCGAAAGAGGACCTCTGTGGTCGTTCTGTGTGTGCATGCCGTAAACACTGAACAAAGATTGACATCTGTTGTTGTTTTAGCAGGTATGGAAAAGGAGGGCGAAAGCACTTGTGAGCCAGCGACCCCCGTCCTGCGCATCAGCCAGCTGGATGCTCTGGAGCTCGACTCAGCCCTGGAGCAGCTGCTGTGGACCCAGTTGTGCCACTGCTTCCAGAATTTACGCCCGGGCCTCCTCACCCCTCTGGAGCCCGAACTGAAGGCGTTGCTCCAGCTGCTCCTCTGGAGGTTCACTCTGTATCCCGGCAGCGCCACAGTTGGCCAGTCTTTACTGAGCCTCCGCTACCGCAACATCTCCACCTCCCCGAACCTCCGCAAGTCTCTGTCCCACAGGCAGAAGTTGGCTCTGCTTCTGCTAACAGTAGGTCCTCGCTGGCTCCAAGAGCGATCCCACAGCCTCCGACGGTGCCTCGGTTTGACGTCAGGAGCTCCTCTTTCTGACGGATTCCAAAAGGCACTCCGCAATTCCCTGGCCGCACTTTCAGGCCTTGCCCGTCTCGCAAGCCTCGTCAACTTTCTTGCGTTTCTCAGAACAGGTTACCACCCGGTCCTGGCTGAAAGGATGGTTGGCGCTCAAGCGGTTTTTAGCGAGCCGAGCGTGACGCGGGACGTGACGTACCAATACGTGAATCGGGAGCTGCTGTGGCACGGCTTTGCCGAGTTCCTCATTTTCCTGTTGCCACTCATCAACACGAGCAAAGTGAAAGCTAGCATCTATTCCTTTGTGCTCGGGGGGGACCCAAGCGGCGTGGGCGGCGCACGGGACAAAGAGGGGGCGTGGCGAGAGTGCGCGCTTTGTGGCGAGTGGCCGACCATGCCTCACGCGCTCGGTTGCCCGCATGTTTTCTGCTACTATTGTATCAAAAGTCAGAGCATTGCCAACAATTGCGTCCGCTGTCCAAAATGCGGCACGGAGGCGAGGCGACTGGAGCCCGCCAAAATCGAGACGCTGCTCAGGCATTAGATGGCAGAATCCCCCAAGGCCGTTTTGTCTTTGAGGAGCAAATTTTGAGCAGCACCGTCCCTCCCGCCCGGTTAATCCGAGGGAACTGATATAAGCATTTTATACTTCAATCAAAAGAATTGAAGAATGATATAACTGACGGTAGAATCGAACGTAGGGATATACTGTATGTGTATACGCATACGATTTCTGATTCACAACTGTTTGAGTTCATGTTTTTATGATGTCTGCGTTACTTCTGAACACATCCACGATCTCTGTTTAATGTCAGTGCACGTGTATTGACAATCCGTTTCTCTGGCTGGACTTCGGACAGAACTGTTTGTCTTTGACGGACTGGACAGACTACCGAAAACCCCACAGAGCAGACATTTAATTAAAGAATGTGTTGATTTATGCTTCGAATTCTCTGTGTGTGTGTGTGTGTGTGTGTGTGTGTGTGTGTGTGTGTGTGTGTGTGTGTGTGTGTGTGTGTGTTTGTTGAAATGGGAATATTTGTTCTGATGAAAAATGCAGAAAGTCAGCTGAATAAATAATGGAGGGAATTTCTGATGCCTCATCATGGCTAAATTAGCATTTGTTGTGTATTCTGTGCCTAAATTGTATTTCAACATCATTAAAATTGATTTCGGGCCTTCTCTTGGGTGTTTATTCGGTTAAGTGGAGGGAGGGAGATGAGGGAAAGTTATAACAATCATGGCGCTTGCCTCTAGACAGGCCTGGTCGTTCTCCCTCCCATGATCCATTTTCACAGCGCCCCGACATCCTGGAGATCAAGGGGGCAGCCGGGGGCTTGGATTGACTCACACACACTCGCACACTTGACAGCGAGCCTCTCTTCTCCCTTGGCCCTTCTCTCTCTTGCTTGCCTTTCCATCTCTTCCCCACTCGTAATCTCCAGGGCCCTCGCCCCCATAAGACTGTCGTAAACTGTACCAAAACCCCGGCAGTCGTCTTCTTCCTCGCAGGCGAATTACTCTCTAATCCCTGTAATGAGTCCAAAGATGCTTATTTATGCTGGAGTTAACCTCCACCAGTGAGCCCAGCCCCGGGCGAAACGCGCCCCGGCTGAGTGAGGCCTTTCCTGGCTGACGAGAGCAGAGGGAAGGTTTTGGTTGGGGAGGGGCAAGGGGGGCTGCTACCCCGCACCCAACCCCCTTCCATTCTAGCTCTCGTCACTGGGCTTTAATTGCAGACTGTGCAAACCATTACTCTCGGATCAACCAGAGACAGGAAGTTACTGTATCTCAACAGGATCTCATGAGAATCAAGAAAGGGAAGGTGCAAAATGTTACTTTTAGAACTCAACTGTTGTCATCTATTGACACATATTATATTTAAGTGCATACAAGTACCTCTGTTCGTTTTTTTCATCATGCCATAGCAGCAGGATACCACAGCCAGGAAGTGTCCGATGCTCAGGGCTTTGTGAGCATCCTACGCTTATTCACAGAAGGAAGCAAAGCCCCGAGGATCTCTCGGTTGAACGTCTGGCCCACATTAGAGGGGAAAACTCACAGCTTGCGCTTTGAGTTTGACGTATATCACTTGTGACAACACTACTGGGACCTTTCGGACATACCTGCGATGTAAAACCGTGATTCTGTGGACACTTGGAATCCCCCCCCCTCCTCACCGGGGACATTTTGACTAATGAAGCCTGTCGTAATGCGCGTAAAGCCTGAGCCAGGAGCAGCTGCTTGTCAATATTTCATGCACTACATTACATTCATGGACTTCAAGTCCCAGAAAGAGAGATGAGGGACGGAGATATGATCGCCGTGAATGCCGCCGGGACATGTCATTGTCTTAACATTCCACGAGACTTACACCATAAACCGTTTTTTTTTTTTTTTTTGCAGACAGTATTCTACAACTCTTAATAGAGGTCCCCCAGTTCCCAGGAAAGATAAAGCCGAAGGAGTATATTAAAGTCTCTTAATTGAGTGAGAGCATGGATGGAATTAGCCACGTGTTGGGGGGGGGGGCTGCGGACTTAGGTAGGTAGCAAAGGCCGCATTAAGCCTATCTGTCTTTGGATCTTTTCCAATTCACGGGCTCCGTGTGGAGAAGCAAAGTCGGAAGAAGCCCCCCCGCCCCCCATTCCCAGCGGCTATGTAAAGCAATCTGCACATTCACACGTCGCCATTTAGGGAGCAAATTGGCCCTGTGCCCCCACTGACGAAGGTTTTAAGAGAAAGGGAATTAACGGGCATTGAATCCCCTAACTAGAGCTCCTTCTTTGATGAGCCTCTTTATCCGCCTGTACCTCATCTCCATTTCTTTCATGTGACTCACTGATTTTCCTGATTAAATAGTTTTCAAGAAAGAAAAGAATCTCTGTGCTTCTTTCGTCACGGGCATTTGGATGTTGTTGTTTCTCGCGGGGGGGGGTTGAAGTTAAAGATTGGACTTGACCTAAAATGCGCAGTATCTCATCGAAACAAAAATCTCCCATTCAAGTCGCCATTTGTCGGTTTTCGACACCTGCGCGCTTTTTCCTCATGTTGTAGCTTGTCTAAAATGTCGATGGGAGCGCTCTATCGCTCACGTTTCATCTGCTCAATAAAAGACGAGCCTGAAATAAAACAGGAACACATTCCTCCGAGGTAGTTAAATCCGAGGTGTGCTGGAGAGTTCAGAGCTCGGAGAGCGTTCTCTGCACACCTGCCGGGCTTTGGGTACCACCGGGCCCAATTATCCTCGTCTCCCTCCTCCTCTTAAGCGCCTCTTCAGTCGAACGGGTCAGGGGGACAATCAATCACACCCAAAATAAGGAAGTCATTTCCGCAGCCTCCATGCGGTGCTTGCATCTCTGACCTTGAGGAAGAAGCGTCATATTTGGCACGTACCGATGGAATTTGGAAGAGCCGAGCTTCATTTTGCCGAGCGAGCTGTATTGGACATCCGCGACACGTGTGAGGAAACCAAAATGAGCTTCATTTTGCCGAGCGAGCTGTATTATTGGACATCCGCGACACGTGTGAGGAAACCAAAATGCTGCGGAAAGTCCTGATGCGACCGTGTGATGTTTTCTTTGGGGATCCCTTGGGTGCAGCCCGTATGTCAAATATTGTGGCTTCTGACAACCTTAGAGGAAAAGTAACGTTTGATCCTGTGTTAACGCCACGCTTTGGATCTGTGGCAGCTTGAGGCACGAGAACAGCAGTTCGGTTGAAAGAGGAGTTCAAGTCAGGACTGTTGGTGCAGGTTTGGCATACATGGCGACAGACAGTGTTGACATTTTTTTTCTTGATTGTTTTTATTGTTAATATTATTTTTTTTTAACAAAAAGTAAGCAAAAGAAATGCTCCTTTTGTCAAAGTCATCTTTTAAACTACATGACAGTAACGCAGTGCAATAAACATGTACAATTGCGACATTTTTTCCATATGTTAGTTTTAAAAGCTAAACCTTTGAAATCATGACTAAATGATCCATCCATTTTGGCAACTTTAATCTGGGATCTCGTTCTTTCACTCGTGACCATAGGTGAGGGTAGGAATGGAGATTGACCGGTAAATTGAGAGCTTTGCCTTTTGGCTAAATGATTCTAACTTTTATTTGGTCTGATTTGGCCCAGTGCGTCTGAGGCATTTTTGACATATCAATAAAAACGACTAATGCTTTTATTTTTTTTCTGATCCCTTTGCTCAAAAGCAGGCATCAAATAGATGGAAACAAAGTTTCCCTGCCCTATTACAGGAGGAATTGGGACAGAAGAGGCAAATCAACAACCAGAGGGCATCATGGGGATTATCCACAGGTGCACTGCAGTCTACTTAAGTTCTCATCTGTTTGTGTTCTAGGCCAGAGTTTCCAAACATTCATGTCAAGGCACACATTTTACATTATTAAAAAAAAAAAACAAAAAAAAACTCACGACACACCGACCACAAAAATGTATGAATACGGAAATCGTTAAGATCTATCCTCAAGGTCCTCACAAACTGACTTGGTGCATCATGACTTATTCTGTTGTTTCAATCGCAAATGCTGGATGCGCCATTCGAAGGGAAGAGCATCTAATTGCTCCTCCTCATCACGCTACGTCGCTGGCATAGACAGATAAACAAATGAATAAATGACATTTTTTGAATAAATGAAGTGAATCTTCTCCACTCAGACAGCACCCTCGTTGGGAAAACACTGGTTTTTGGCCACCTGAGTGCTTTGCCTGCAGGTGTCTTGCAGCAAGCAACTCAATGAGCAATAATCTGCACACATGCTTCCAGATGTCCCAGTGAATTTCCTGGGACTTAAGGCACCAGCTCGGCTCTTTGAAACTCCTGATAACCTCTTCAAGTGTGATTGAACCTCTATTTGTTCAGGAATGTGGTGCGCGGCTCAAAATTTCTTTTTTGCCCTCAAAGGCATGTGAATGATGGCATGCGTTTGTCTGGAGCGATTGCCAGCCTACCTGATTTCACCTTCATTTTGTCACATGCACTTTTCAACTGGTGATAAAATGACAGTTGATTTGATGAGTGGTTTAATTTAGAAAAATAGATTCAGATTTATGTCAAATCTGGGTGGGGTTTTTGTTACTTCCAGGGGTTCCAGCAGGCTCCAAAACAGAATTGGATTCCACAAAATTAGTCAGAGATAAGGTTGATAACAAATGTTTATGAACAGAAGGCAAGACCAACAAAGTCCAACAAAAAAAAAACGCTGGTAACAAGGAACCAGGATGAAACCAGAACAAACCAAAAGCGCTTGCAAAAGGCAAGATGAACATAAATTGCTCGTCACTCAAAGGAAAAGGAAATCCAAAACACAAGAAATATCAACTGAGAACTAACAAGAATGACTCACATGAAAAACAAATACCAAGACAAAAATATGGCACGAAGCTATGAGGCAAAGAGCAATAATGGCTAATTTGATGAGTGGTTTAATTTAGAAAAATAGATTAAGATTTATGTCAAATCTGTTTTGTTTTTTTTTTGTTACTTCCAAGGGTTCCAGAATGCTCCAAAACAGAATTGGATTCCATGAAAGTACAGTAGTCAGAGATAAGGTGGATAACAAATGTTTATGAACAGAAGGCAAGACCGACAAAGTCCAACAAAAAAAGCTGGTAACAAGGAATCAGGATGAAACCCGAAAAAACCAAAAGCGCTTGCAAAAGGCAAGATGAACATAAATTGCTCGTCACTCAAAG